AAGGGAAACAAGGAACTGGCGATTTTGTTTGTTTTATTTGTTGAAATGCCTTTCGATGCTTCCCTCACATGTAACATTTAAATCAACTCATCTCTCTCTCTCTCTCTCTCTCTCTCTCTCTCTCTCTCTCTCTCTCTCTCCTCTCTCTCTCTCTCTCTCTCTCTCTCTCTCTCTCTCTCTCTCTCTCTCTCTCTCTCTCTCTCTCTCTCTCTCTCTCTCCTCTCTCTCTCTCTCTCTCTCTCTCTCTCTCTCTCTCTCCTCTCTCTCTCTCTCTCTCTCTCTCTCTCTCTCTCTCTCTCTCTCTCTCTCTCTCTCTCTCTCTCTTCTCTCTCTCTCTCTCTCTCCTCTCTCTCTCTCTCTCTCTCTCTCTCTCTCTCTCTCTCTCCTCTCTCTCTCTCTCTCTCTCCTCTCTCTCTCTCTCTCTCTCCTCTCTCTCTCTCTTCTCTCTCTCTCTCTCTCTCTCTCTCTCTCTCTCCTCCCTCTCTCCCTCTCTCTCTCTCTCTCTCTCTCTTCTCTCTCTCTCTCTCTCTCTCTCTCTCTCTCTCTCTCTCTCTCTCTCCTCCCTCCTCCTCCTCCCTCCCTCCCTCCCTCCCTCTCCCCTCCTCCCTCCTCCCTCTCCCCTCCCTCCTCCCTCCTCCTCCTTCCTCCCTCCTCTCTCTCTCTCTCCTCTCTCTCCCCTCTCCTCTCTCTCTCTCTTCTTCTCTCTCTCTCTAAGACACGTACACTCACTTCCCTTAAAAGCATCTGCGGAGAAATCCAATAGCACTTGACGAGCGTAAAAAGTAACAGATATCGCCGAAGCCAGAGCCAATAGGAGACATCCGAACTAGATCGATGGTGGCCCCGCCCTATCTGCGATTCCCGGAGCGCTCGGGTTAAGTCCCAATATTTGTCCATTTTGAAAAGACTTGCTAATTAATGAGGTTTGAACAGGTCGTCAAATACAGTAACTAAATTACGGTTGACTGCCAACCGAGCGGTGAAGGTGCCGGAGTGTTTGAGAATCGTGGCGCTGTCTTAGTCTTCGTTTGCGTTGCGGGTAAGGAAAATTATTTTTTAGTATAACACGATTTTTTTTTTTTTTTTTTTTATAAGAAAACAAAGAAGAAAGGTTAGATATTACGGACAGAGAATCCACGATTTATTATTGAATCATTCAATTTCCATCATTTATACAAACTCATCCATATGTTTTCGATTTTTATATAGTCTCATCATGGGTATTTAACTATTGATAAGAATATGAATATGATAAAAAAAGCGTAAAATCGTGATGTTTCGGACAGGGTTTCGTGACAATCTCCGGTTCTGGTTTTTGACAGAATAAACAGTTTATCCTTCGTCGTGAGAGGGCGCGGGCGTTGTCTCTCGGCGCTGCGCTCAGGCGGTGCTGTGCGGGTTTATATTTCGGGCTTTATTTGGTTATTTTGTCTGTCTCTGTCTCTCTCTCTCTCTCTCTCTCTCTCTCTCTCTCTCTCTCTCTCTCTCTCTCTCTCTCTCTCTCTCTCTCTCTCTCTCTCTCTCTCTCTCTCACACACACACACACACACACACACCACACACACACACACACACACACACACACACACACACACACACACACACACACACACACACATCACACACATGTATGTATTATATATATATATATTATATATATATATATATATATATATACATATAATATACATATACATATACATTTACATATACATTTTTTTTCTGTCTATGTCTCCCTACCATTGACGTTCCCGCAGCCACAGTCGTCCGAGGGCGAGGCAGCCATCAGGCCCGGGGCCCTTTAGGCCTACGGAGGAGAAGGATATCACGCGAGTAGGCCTCGACCTCAGCGGCCTCTCTTCTCTACGATCTGGTGGCGTGACTCCCCCAGGATATTATCCACGGAGGCCTACTCTTCCCTTGTCCCTCTCCCTTTCTCTCTTTTCTTTTCTTTTTCTTTCTCTTCTTTCTTTCTTTCTCTCTTCTCTCTCTCTTCTCTCTCCTCTCTCTCTCTCTCTCTCTCTCTCTCTCTCTCTCTCTCTCTCTCTCTCTCTCTCTCTCTCTCTCTCTCTCTTCTTTCCGAGCATACAGTTTACACCTTTCCTTACCTTTTTTTAGTTATTCTCCGTCCGTTGCTTATTCCGTCTTTCCTTCCCATGACGCACTTTTTTTCTCCCCCTTTCTATATTTCATCACATTCCCCACATACCTTGAGGTAGTGAGCTCTTGTATCAAGTGAAAAAAAAAACGTTCATTTACGTTCTATACGAAAGAGAAGGCATCTCGTTACCTGGTTGGGTCAGTTATATCTGTCAGGTAGATCGCGGCAGATCCGAGAGTGTCAGAAATTAATTAGCGCTCGAAATATTGTCCACCTGGTAATTGGTACCACCTGCTCATTAGTGGCTGATCGAGAATAGACGCCGATGCGTAGGAAGTGGATGCACTAGAGTCGCCGCGGAATGGGTGCCGGGTCCTTCTCGGTGCTGGCGGGCGATTGGCTTTCGTTACGTGCTGCGGAGACGAACTGAGAATCTAGAAATTCCCGATGTTATGTCCGTTTGTAGTATCTTATCATTCAGTCATGCCATTTTTTTCGTTCCTTTTTTGATAAATAACCCTTATATTTCCCCCCTTTTTTATATAGATAACCCTTATATTTCCCCCCTTTTTGATTATACCCTTCCCCCTTTTTATAAATAACCCTTATTATTCCCCCTTTTGATAAATAACCCTTATTATTCCCCCCTTTTTATAAATAACCCTTATATTTCCCTCCTTTTTGATAAATAACCCTTACCCTTTTTTGATAAATCTTATATTTCCCCCCTTTTTATATATATAACCCTTATATTTCCCCCGTTTTGATAAATAACCCTTATATTTCACCTTTTTGATAAATAACCCTTATATTTTTTATATATAACCCTTATTTCCCCTTTTTTTATATAAATAACCCTTATATTCCCCCGTTTTGATAAATAACCCTTATATTTCCCCCTTTTTTATATAAATAACCCTTTATATTCCCCCCTTGTTTATAAATAAACCCTTATATTCCCCCTTTTTTATATAAATAACCCTTATATTTCCCCCTTTTTGATAAATAACCCTTATATTTCCCCCTTTTTTTTATAAATAACCCTTATATTCCCCCCACCTTTTGCTGTATATTCAGTGAGTGTGTTTTCTCTCCCTCTCCCCTGCCCTGGATTCCTGCCCTTCCGTCGCGCCCCCTGACAGCTGGCACTTCCCCGCATTTCCCGCGATTTTATCTCCTCATGTGACCATCTCCCTCTGGCCATGCATTTGCAGTCGCAGTTCGCTTTAAATCTCCTTTATTCTCTTCTAGTCTGTCCCTTCAGTAACCGTAACACGACACACCACACGCACACACACACACACACACACACACACACACACACACACACACACACACACACACACACAACACACACACACACACACATGCTTTTCCTTCTCTTGTGACCTTGGCAGGCACACGACCTTGATGCGCCCACTGGGGAAATGCGTGGACTTGGTGGGGGTAGGGGGGGGGGGAGGCAGGGTTTGGCGCATAGATAATAGCAGAGGCAGCGGTTGTGCATGTTGCTTAATTCTTCTTCCTTTCCTCCTCTTTCTCCTCTTCGTGTTTCTTTTGCGTGAGTGTGAGGAGCTATTTCTTTCCTCGCGTGTCTATGCATATCTTCTACTGCGGTCGAAGCAAACATGATTTGATGGTATGTGTTTGGCAAGTGATATTTCTGCTCTGCCCCCCCCCCCCTCTCCCCTCCTCCCCCACACCCCATCCGGGACATGCAATGCGGCGGGGGTAAGGGGGGGAGGGGGAGGAGGAGGGAGGGGGTGACACACCTGCAGTTTTCCGGAATAAACGATAAGATCGCATGCAAGCGTCCGGCTCAGCGTCTCCAGCGTGTCTGCATTGCCTTCCGTGGCGTCATCGTCTCCATGGTGATTAGCACGAAAGCGCAAAGAAAACGGGAGTTGGGGGGAGACTTAGGCGTTCCTCGGACAAAGCTCCATCCGCGGGGGGGGGGGGGGGGGATCGTTTTCGCGAAGCTCTGTGGACGAATTCGTGATATGTCGGGATTTCGAAATGGAGGCGCGATTAATGCGAGAGAGAGAAGGGTAGCGTTTATTAGCAGCTAATTTGCACATGAAGGGACGAGGAATCTGATATCATGGTAATTCGCCGCGTGTCAATATTGCGCATTGGTCGTTTGGGGAAATATCTATAAATGAATCAAATATTCATTCATCCTCGCCCGCTGCATACTCACCAGAATATATCATTCCCATATTTTTGGCAATTTAATGATGTATTAACACCCTACACACAGCTCGGTAAACAACAGCAACTTTCAGATTTAGGACTGAAAGTACCTAAACTAGTAACTATACTTTGATATCAGCCGTTGGATCGTTGTACCTTAAATGCACTTCGACGAACACGAGCCAAAGTTAAACGAGGGGCTTACGTACCCTGGGGGAATTAGGGTCGCACCATATTGTTAATACTTTCCAGGGGGGCAATACGCCTTTCTCCCTTTTTAAAGAACCGGTTCGCCTGCGTCCCTTTCGGCTGAGAAAAAAAAGGGGAAAGGAAAGCTGTCCTCGACTCTCCGTACCCAGAATGATGGCGTCCTTAGCCTGAATTTGTCCGCGTAGTGTGTCGGCTGCGTTCGGCTTTCGCATGGAGACATACCTCGTCCGGTCGCAGCAGATCCGAGGTAATACACTGTAAACTCGTTTTTCGGGAATGCGAGCCTGAATCAATACATGTTCGAGTGATGTGTAAACCGCCTCCCTCCCTTCCCCGCGAGCCTATAACTCAGCCAATGATATATGCACGTGACCGCAATATCTACTTTCGCAACCACTCGTCCCTCCCCGCCCTGTCCACCCTCCCTCCCTTCCACCCCCAAAAGATGTAAGCTACGTCGGGAAAATATCGTAGCAATTAGCATAAAGTTGTCCAAATGCCCTCCGGAAAGTTGGCTTCCCGTCACCATTGTCGCAATATTTCTCCGTTCGTCGCAGCCTTCCTCCGCCTGCGCGACCTCGACGGCAGGACAGCGATCTCGGCAATGCGTCACGCGGAGTTTACGAGAGGAGCGCCCGGTGGTTTGGCGGCTCCGCACGTCGGAAAAGTCTATACAGTACGGTAACTGTGAATGGGGTATTTATAGTGGGGTTGCTGTAATTCCTTGCCGCGAATGGAGTTTTTACAGTATGAATAGAGGAATTCGTAACCGTGACGGATACTGAATATAGATTTTTTCTCAGATGTTTCAAAGATCAAATCATTTTCTTTCTTATTGATTTTCCTTCTTTTGTTGTTGTTTTTTTATTCATTTAAAGCATTCTCCATAACGGTTTGTGTGGCGGTGACACGAACTTCTCCAGCACATAAAATTCCCCCGACTGTCAGTGGCAGCTCTGACGCCGGCCGCTGGTTTTAAAAGCCTCCAATAATAGCGGGCGACATATTTCTCCCAAAGATATCGCCGACGACGAGAATTCCACTCGCACTCTCCTCAGGACACACCGCGCTAATGTGAATTGTTTCCATCCCTTCCGTGACAACTATATGACAGCGTGCCATAAAAAGGAACATTTTTATTGCACCATAACCTTGCCTTACGCCCAGCACAGTAAGGTAATATCCAGGGTCACACCGAAGGGAATATTGATTGTATGAGGGGGAGATATTACCCTCCGTGGATGGGGGGGGGGGGGGGGTCACGGCGCCGCCCTGGCATACGGCATGAGAATGAGATACAACACCCCATACAACACCGATACCGATAAAACACAAGGAGTAGATGACCTAGATACAACAGAATGAAGAGAGTAGATACAGGATGAGTAGATAGGAAGGAAAACACGTAGATACAAAGGAGTAGATATGAAAACAGAGAGTAATAACGGGGATAAGTAGATACGAAACCGGGGATGAAGGAGTAGATACGGAAAACGGGGATGAAGGAGTAGATACGAAAACAGGGGAATGAAGAGAGTAGATAAGGAAAAACGGGGATGAAGGAGTAGATACGAAAACAGGGGAATGAAGAGAGTAGATAAAGAAAACGGGGAGGAAGGAAACATGAAACACGGGGATGGTGTGGGAAGGAAAACACGGGAGTGAAAGTATATAGGAAAACGGGGGATAAAGAAATAGATAGGAAAACATGGGGATAAAAGAGTAGATAGGAGAACACCGGGATGAAGGCGTAGATAGGAATAGAGGAAGAACGCGATCACAAGGCAGAAGGCGAGGAGATAGAAAGTGTAGCTGAGGAAGACGACTTTTGAAAGGAAGATGAATACAGAAAACCAGAAATTAAGATAATATGGACACTATTCTATAAAGACAACAAAGACACACAAACACCACAGAAAGGGACGAAGAAAAAAAGAATAGGCAAATGAATGATAAACAGAAAGAGGAATATAGAGCGAAATGAATAAAAGAAACAGCCCGATAAGAGTGAGAGGGGAGTAAACACGCACAAAGAGACACAGGAGATAAGGAGATTACGTGTGTCCATGGAAACGGGAAGCCGCAGGGACGCCGTGAATACGAAAGGAGAAGCTGCCAGGAAAATAGATTCCTAAATGTGGAAAATTGTTATGGGAAAAGAATCGAATCCTCTTAAAGAATCAGATCCTCTTCCTTATGACAGCCGCATGAATGGTGATTATTAACTCAGTTTCCAAGAGTTTAGTGTTTACTCTTGTAGGAAAAAAATGACAATGGAATTTAAGAATTTTTAGAGTCAGACAAGGACAGATAATCAACAACAGTGTTCTTTAGGCGTTAGAATGAGGTCAGGGGGCAAGACAGTGCTATTTCCACCGTGTTTTATTTTCAGTGCATTTGCGAGGCTTCATCCAGACGCCCACGCGAGCTGCAAAAAGGGCTGTGACTTTTGCTCGAAACGGAGAGACAAACAAGGGAATTAAAGCTGAATAAATGAAATCCGGTTTAGAAAGGAGAATGACCTCTCTCTCTCTCTCTCTCTCTCTCTCTCTCTCTCTCTCTCTCCTCTCTCTCTCTCTCCTCTCTCTCTCTCCTTCTCTCTCTCCTTCTCTCTCTCTCTCTCTCTCCTCCTTCTCTCTCTCTCCTTCTCTCTCTCTCACTCACTTCACACACACACACACACACACACACACACACACACACACACACACACACACACACACACACACACACACACACACACACACACATACACACACCACACACACAACACACACACACACACCCCCCACGCACACACACCCCATACACACACACCCACGCATCCCCCCCCCCACACACACACGCCCACACAACCAGGCCATTTAATCCGGACAATGAATGGGGCAATTTCATTGTTCATAATGATAATTACGTAGACAGAGAAAATAGGTTCAACCCGTAAATAATCATTTATTAGATTATAACCCGTGTTAATGAAGCTCTGATAATATTTT